AAAATCGTCGATAGTGGGTCTCGTTGAAATCTCGTTACATAGGCATCGGCTCAGATGTAGGTAGGGCGGAATTAAAAAAAAATCACAAAATCAAAATCAAAGTAAAATAATAAAATAAAATAAAATAAAATAAAAGGGCATTAATAACAAAAATAATAAAAAATAAAATTAAAATAAGTTTATAGCCAAAATAATTAAAGCCCGTTCACTACATCAGATTTTAATCAGATTGACCTTGACAATGAAATTAAGTTTAGGACGTTAATGCATCCTCGGTGTTTGGTCGCTGGCATTACCTCCGCCATAATGATTATAAGCCCATTCCATTAAAAACATTTCAGTCATTAGGTGGAAAAAAACATTAGGCAAGAGCAGTATTGACAGCCTAGATATTTTAGTCCATGAGCGGGTGGAGCGGAAATCCCCTTTTCATCAGCAATTCAAAAATGAGATGTTTGCTGTACTTCACGGCAGAGACACAGTCCCTTTACTGTGTATGATATACGGAATATTCATAGCTGGGTCACTGTGCCTATTATGTTAACTATACTTTCAGGGCACGGGATCGTTTAAGTCCTTACGAGTGGGCACTGTGAAATCGACGTTGGGACGAAATTATTGAACAATTTTAGTCGCTGATTACGTATTTTCGAAAAGATCAATGTCTTCCAAGTTTAATTCAAATGACCCAGAAAGATATAATGATGCGATGTCATTGAAGAACTATACCACACCATATTATATACATTAATATCTATGCAGTATGGACAATTCAGAGTGCGGTCACGTCCAACTAAAAACACATTAGCTAGTTTACTTCGCTACAACAGAGCGTCCCAATCATGAAATCTCGCCATACTGAGATACACGTACCACTAATGGTATAGCACATATTTTCGTACTCCGTCAATATCGAATTCACGAGATTCTACTCATGAACATTCTATTTCAGACTAGCAAGTGCGCGCAAAACAAGTTTTTTATCGGCGCATTACTATATATGGTATTTGTAACACATGTAGTACGTGTGAGGAGTCACGATGATTTGATATCTATGTGTGGTATTTTTGCAAATATTTAATATATGTGATTTATAATAATAATATAATAACAATTATTATTTATTAGTCTTTGAAGTGGCCTAAAAGGAAACTCGTTAACACGGCATACAAGTTCACATACACCTCACACATTGACATGTGCCGGGATTACTCAGGTACGCCACCAACGGCAGGCTTTGGGCACACGGCATATGGACCACTTTCCCAGAAGTCGAAAATACGGCCTTCCGTATGCGCACGCATGCCGTTTTGGGGTGTAACGTAAACTTGCACGCGTTATATTGTTCGTCCGGGTGTACCAATCGGCGTCACAAAAATTAGATTCTCTTCTATCGACTATCAGAAAACTGAGACGTTTGTATTTCCGCCATGACAAAGTAGGTGTATTTCTGCACCCATGTCCCGTTAAATGGTCTATATGTGTATACTGTAAAATACATTACTTCCGCTTAGAATTTATTTTCGGTGAAGGAATGAATCAGTAACATTAAAATCCAGCGAATATACATTTTCCTCTAATGTTCACTAAAAATACAAAAATCTTTTCAGCGAGAATTCCAGCTAAAATAAAGTATTTTACGGTTCATCAATGTGCAAGTGAATACGGAAAGCCTGCTTATAAACAAGAGTTTATTCACGAGGGAATTTTAATTCTTCTCTGCTCTTGAATATAAGTAGGATTTCAAGGAAATCTTGACCAATGTTAAAGTAATCATTATAAATTTGGCATACAATCAGTACCATGATATTCACTGGCAGTTTGTAAATTGTAAAACAAATAGATGGATTCCACATCATTATTCTATTCGAAGGTAAATAAAATTATATTTTGTCATAGCTTTATCTCATAACAAAATAACGTGACTAGTGAAAAAGATTAACATGGTTATGAACAAATAATGATAAAATTATTTATTGCAACAGCAACACTTTAACGTTTACAGCCGTTAAAAAAATTGCCCGAGATTAATTAAAAAAGGTGGTGGTCATTGTGACGTATAAGACTTGAATAAAATACATTATTTAAATGAAGGGTCAACATGTGCAGCATGGCAACTATCTTCTAAATTAAAAACAAAATTAGAAATAATAAGAAGAGAGTACATTTTTAAGTTTAATATTAAAATATGTAATAGTCATTGAATTAAAAATATATCATAGTTTAATAAGGCTGTCACAATAACAATAACGTCATAATCTAGTTCTAATTATTTTTTTTCTTCTGACAAATGTATTATGGAGTTGCTGATTCGTCCGGATGTATAACGTAACCAATGCAGGGGTTGACCAGAGTATCGTGGCATGGCGACGGTGAATAGGATGGTCGGAATTCTTTGTCGACATTAGTAACGAATCCGTCTGTCGACGCTTCTACGCACGAGACGTACGTGTTCGGTTTGTCGCCGACACACCTGTTAAATTTGAAAATATAAAAAAATTATTACTAAATATTTCTAGTCATTCATTTGGCATTATAAACAGTTTGTTTTCATCTTCAATTCAGCATCCGCAAGTTGGGTTTCACTGCAAAGCTCGCCTAAAGAGGGCGTTTAGCGGCACAACCGTGACAACTACTTTTCCCTGGGATAGTGCCGATCTAGATTTCATCTATAGGGTTCACAAACAAATACATCATAACTCCAGGGGGGTATGTGCTTTAACCATTAAGTGATCATGATTTAACTGGTTTGTACCAACATTATCGCGATTCCCGACCCATTCAAACTATTGTTGTGAATACGTGTAGTTTAAATTGCCGTTAAATTCGGGAGTTGTCGGTACTTCAATACATATGGGAATTGTTAAGAAGAGTAGGTTAGGTTCAGGAATGTAAGAATAAACCGCGTATGGACTGTAACAGATTACTTTATTGAAAGAACTGAAGAAGAGAAGTTTCGTCTCCTACTTGTATACTTAAAATAAATATTGGTCATGTACATGACTGGTTGCAATAGATATGGCTTTGTACATGATTGGCGAAAAGATAAACGAGCTGATTTGTTGAAATTAAAACAATCTCATTGGCTGGCTAATTTTCAGTCAAAATTCTAAATTTTTATCAAGATCAATTTTCTGAAAATACATGACATTGAACATTTTAGAACGCCCACTGGTAAATTCAATGCAGTCGTAGTATAGTTATAACGGCTGCACGACAGTGCTTATAGTTTATTCTCAGAAAACATAGATGTTAGTTACTGCCTTATGCTAAAATATGTTTAGATGTTTAGAGTAGTAACAAATTCTCAGACTTAAAAAATACCACTAATATTCACTTTTAAGATATCATTTTTGATATGTGTTGGTTCTTGGATATTTCAGCTTCGTCGTCCTGTACTTCGTTCAGTAATTCGGACTTCCCAGATTGCGTAAACATAGACAGTTTCGCAATTTTGACGCGGAAAATGCCTGGGCTAAATTATTTGCTGAGGGACGGCCGCTTACGTATGTGCACTCCTCAGACAACTTATACAGTTTATTTTAAATACAATTTAAAATGTATTAGTTGTCTGAGTGCACTCTAACTTGTATTGTAAGAGCAAATAAAACAACTTTATGGAAACAACAATATACTAGTCAGTTATTTTAAATATTACCTGCAGTAATCGTCTCTACCGTCACCATTCTCGTCCTTCATATACCATGTTTGATAGTGACCTGGGTCAAATCGAACGTCGTCTTTAGTTGAGTAGTTATACTCATTGTCACCCTCAGTCCCAGCAAGTGCGCATGTCAGGTACAATCGGCCATGTTTGCCCTGCACAAATCTGTAGGAACAATGGAACTCATGTCTGTGTGTTCTTAACATTATTCATAATTCTAGAGAAAGTTGGTTATAATTACGCGGCAATATTTAATGTTTAAATTAGTAGAAGTTCATTTAGTTTAATTGGTACTATTTGACACATAGGTAACGTTTATAAAAAAAACCGTGACGAAGAATTTCAAAAATGTCATTAGAACGAAATTGAGTTGAATGTCATGGAACAGCAAGCCACATCCTTCTTGAAGCTCACATAGGAAAGCCGGAAACCAGTGAATACGCCCCGAATTATTTCACTTACCTGCAGTAGTCGTTGGTGGCGCCCTGCCCCTGAACGTCGGCCCATCCATGAAACATAGCTCGATGACCAGTGTCGGAGATATCGTATCTTCGAGGGAGAATTTCTTTTTTACAAGAACCTTCCTGTTCTCCTGCTTGCAAATACAATACCGACAGTGAGATTATTATTAACACTATTTTTTCCATATTATGTTTTAACAAATACCTGAGCAAATACGGTCCAAAATAACGAAGAAATTGAGAAACAAATCATAAAGATGCCAACGTACTGTTATGAACTTAGCAACATGACATGGTTCATGCTTTTGCTCAAGATTAGATCGTTACCTGTTTCGGGAACTTTGAATTTTAAAGAGTTGCTTTCATCTTCTGCGTAGCATGTATATTCCCCCGACACAAAATACGGTAGTTTGAACACTACTTTCACTTCAGACGATGTGCTATTCAAGTTCTTGCCCTTTGAGACGTCGTTTTCCGCTACAATAGAACAACTATATATTGTCAAGGCTCAGTGGCGGATCCAGAGAGGGGGACAGGAGGGCACCCCCCCCCCCCAATGCATGACGATTTATATCATCTGGATTACGCATAGCTTCTCTGCGATTTTCGCTCCGTAATTTTAAGCGAAGCTTGCCCCCCCCCCCCCATAAATTTTGCTGGATCCGGCAATGTCAAGGCTATAAGGTCGAACATAGAAGCCCACCTAGACGACAGTAATAAACGTTGTTCGCGGGCAATGGGTATCGCTAACCTGGAAAACAGTACTTAGATAGGGGATATATAACGTCGAGCATATAAGGCCACTTAGGCAATGGTAATAAAGGTCATCAGTCAATAGAATTCTTTGTTTTTTATAACTTAGGGGACATATAACGTCGAGAATATATGCCCACTTAGGCGTATGAGAATAGAGGAAACATTTTTTCACACCTGTTAGGACTCAAGTCAACGTTAGTTTCATTTCTTATTTTTTGTTTATTATCGACAAAGTTACCAACCGTTCTCATTTGCTTTAGTTGTGAAAGAAATAGTTGAGGATCGACCATCTTGAAATTCATCAGAAGACCATATTTCTATGTCATACTCCGTGTCTTCCTCCAGTCCTTTGTACTCGTATGTACGTGTATTGGGTGACACGACGACCACTTCAGACCAATCACCGCCTACCTGTGACGTCAAAGATTTAACATGGCCAATTTGCAATGATGTTTTGTTAGAAAATGAAGATATGCCTATATTCACACAAAAAATGGGTAAAATTAAAAACAAATGATAGTACAGCCCTCGGAGAATATAGTCATGTGACACTGATGTACGTGATTTGAGAATAACACTGCTCGCGAGAGTACATACCTTTCTGATGCGTAGAGAGTACTTCAATATAGGCTGCTGCGTCGTTTTCGGCGGTGTCCACGATACGATGAAAGTTGAGCTCATGTCAGTGTTCTCGTGATCAGAACTGGTTATAGTTGGTGCCCCCGACCTTTCTGGGTTTCAAAGATAGGATAAAAACATGAAGAAAGAGAATAAACCATAAGCACATTTTACACCATAAATACTTTTATAGCATCGCAATTCATTGGAACATGATTTTAAGTCAAGTTTGTTCAAGTTAGACTTACATCTCAAACTACTACACGGCGAATGAAAACTATGAACCAAAAATGTAATAGCTTATTTACAGGTTTCAGTGTCACGTGGCATTTATTTGTACAAGTACGTCATCGAATCCACAATTGGATACAGCCTCGTTCGCAGACACTCGTGTAATTCTTACTGAAGAAAGATTCCTTGACATCTGTCAATTCCTAATTTCCGAGTTACTATTTTTCTCACGAAATTCGATAGAGGGCGTTCTCAAACTCCCCGGATGACAGTCCGTTCAACGTTCGTGGTGGGGTTGAAATTTGAGTGGCGTCTGCTGTAAGCAATATACTCAACGCCAGTGGATTCGAATGCGTCGTCGGGAACCTGAGTGGACGCCAAACTATATTCCTGGGTTTGTTCACGGCATTTTCCATCCTGCGCCAGTATTTTTTTAGTTCAATAACTGGAGACAGCCGTCTTTCAACCGCAGTTATACATCGATTGAAAAATGAAGACTCTGTCAGCTTCCCGAGACGAGCGCAAACAAAAACATTGAGCCGGATTTGATGGAAATTTCGCTCGTTGCCGATTCCCACATCGATCTTCTTGTTCAGAATCCTTATGATGGCATTTGTTTCGAAGTTGAAGTTAAAATAAATACGGAAGGAAAAAACGTGTGTCCATTTATGATAACTGCATCTGCTGATCGCCTGGTGGATCAAATTAAATCAAACTCACACTACACAGTTACAAACACCAGAAACTAGTAAGGATTTTCCTTCATGGATCATTGCCGAATACACTCTGCCATAGTGAAAATAAATTATGTATTCTGCACATGATGAAGCTTTACGGAAAGTAAATAACCATTATCAAGTCGATATTCTTTCAGTCTGGCTGTTGTCCAGTCACTTCGATGCAACAATATGCGAACATATCAGCTATTTCAAACAAAGGCAAAGTATGAGTTTTTTGCCAGTTTTTACG